GTAACTGATAGTAATGGTAACTTTAAAAGTTACTACAAAACCATCAGTTTAATGATTAATCATGAAAAATTAAGCATAAGAATCAATCATATTGAAAAATTTTATAATAGTTGTGTGTGTGCAAAACTGCTTTTTTTGTTGATCACCAATTGTTGCCAATTATTTTTCATAAATGACAGTTGGTTGACGTTTTACACTTTTATATAATGCACTTGTATATAAAGTATTCATTAATAAAAGTAATAAAGATTTCTTGTCCCATAGGTAGAGATAGTTAATGGAATAAAGGGAAAAGTAAAACAGCATTCAGTTAAAAAAAAAGCCAAGAACGTGCAAGGTGGAGAACAAAGAAAGGTAATATGATATGCAACAAAATATAATATATAATAGCTGCATTCAGCACATAAAACTAATTAGTTAGCTTAGTGATTCTTAATATGATTGGTTTCTATAGTTAGATAGCGAAGAATTAAATGTAAGAATCAATGATTGCGTTCAACTGAAAAAGCAGCTTTGCAACTGTTGTAAAATTTTTTAATATGATTGGTCTCATCTTTAGTTTCTCACTGGATCTTAATGTATAAATCAATCATATTCAAGAATTTTACAACAGTTGCAAAGCTGCTTTTTCTGCTGAATGCAACCAATGATAAAAAAAAATAAATAAAAATAAAACATGTTTTTTTAAAATAATTTTTTTTTAACAAAGTTATTGTTTACAAGTTATTTTTTAGTAGAACATAAATTATCTTTAAACATAATGGAAAATAATTTATAAATAAATTTAAGTTTAAACAAATGTGATTCTAGATATCAGTACCAGCACACAGATATTCGCCTTTGAAAGAAAACTGGATAAAAATATTTACACCCATCACTGAACATTTGAAATTGCAAGTACGTTTCAATGTGAAGACTAGAAATGTAGAAATTAGAACGGCACCAGAAACATCAGATATTTCGTATCTCCAAAAAGCGGCAGACTTCGTAAAAGCGTTCATCTGTGGATTCGAGGTGGAGGACGCTTTGGCTTTATTACGTTTGGATGATCTCTTCGTAGAATCTTTCGAGATACAAGATGTCAGGCAACAAATGAAAGGGGATCACCAGTCTAGAGCAATTGGAAGATTAGCGGGTAAAGGTGGAAGAACAAAGTTTACCATTGAGAATGTAACGAAAACTAGGATTGTGATAGCTGATACCAAGATACACATTCTTGGTTCTTACCAGAACATACAACTAGCTCGTAGGGCGATATGTAATTTAATCTTAGGCAGTCCTCCTTCCAAGGTTTATGGACAATTAAGAAATATAGCTAGCAAGATATCAGAACGATTCTAAATAGAATATACATATTCTATTTGTACATATATATGTGTATATATACATATTAATTATAAAATTATGTTTGGTATTATGTATATATTTATATACTATGTATATACTTCATATTTTTTGTATATGTATCATTCATAGAAAAATTAAATTTATAATAAAATAATATAAGGTGTGTATAATATTATTTTTCGCTAAATATATTACATATTTAAAGAAGTATTTGATATTTATATTTACGCGGTACTTTATTCAGAACCAATCTACCGTCGTAACTGAGAGACGCGAAAGTCCAAGGATCAGCAGACGACCATTCCACTGCATACACACTGTCTTCGTGCTCCTCGTACCTTCCTACCAGACCGTCTTCTAATCTAAAATATTGTAAACATAAAATGTTATACTTTATGCATGAATTGGCTAAAAAATTATATTCCATGATATATTTATTTACTTCTTTTTTCCATAAGATTCTTCGTTTTCCGAAGGCTCGTCTGACACCAAATGACCAAACGGTTCAGACGATATGGACGCAATACTGCACAATATCACTCTGGAGTCACTACTAGACGTTAAAACGAGTTGATCGTGAAAACGATTAATCCTTATGTTCCACACCCAATGTGAATGTTCCATACGTGACAACACTGGTTCCGTGGGTAGTCGGATATCCCAGAACTTCATGTATCCATCATCACCGCAAGTAGATAGAAAATACTGACGATTTGCATTGAAATCTAAATCCCTCCCATCCACGAACATTGTTGTCATTCAGGGTTACAAACTGATTAGCACTATTATGAGGATTCCATTTACCATTCGTAAATCGTGGCTGACCCTTGCCTGCTAAAGTGCCCGCTATTGTTACCTGAATGCATAGAAAAATTATTAAAAGAGTTTTAAAAATAACAGGGATAAATTCGATGTATAATATTAATAATTTCGATTGTTTAAAAAAATAAGAAATCAATACCCGTGGTCCTTCAGTTAGATCCCACAAAACAAAATTATTATCTACTACTGACACTATTTTCTTGCTATCCATAGGATGATAGGCAATAGTTTTGAGATCAGTACCGTATGGAGTCGTATCAATATCAGCTAATTTATTGAGCTGCAGAATATCGTTAGTGTACTCTTTTATCTCGGGGAATTTCCAGACTGCTCCTTTCATCCGGCAGATACCTTCCTCTAGAAAAATAATTCTTTGAAGCATGAAAAGACATATTTAATATCATAAAATATAATTATTAATATTAAAATTAAATATAACTATTAATTATTAAAATTAATAATATAATTAATAATGATAAATTCACAATTGATTTCAATTTGAATGATAAAATGTTACTTTAAGAAATTAAGTGTGTAATATAAGACTTATTTACCACTTAAACTATTATAACATGTAATAAATACATCAGATTCAGTTGGAGAAGCCTGTAAAGACCAAATTTCTCCTATTGGATGCTGGAACACTTGAGTCTTCAAATTGCCTGTTTCCTCATTAAGCTCCACTAAGTGAACCTGGTTGTTACTGAATTTTAAAGATTGTGTTCCTACCAAGAATCTTACAATATCTGTCTCGGCTGTTTGAGCTGATAGTGCTCTAGTCTAAAACAGCATTATGATTTCTTTGAAATATAATTTAAAATTTCTACATTTAAATAACTATACACAAGTAATATTTAAATAGCAAATAATAGATAATGTTACTTGGCGACAGCATGAAATAATATAAAATAAAAAGCTACACTAATTTATATAAAATTCATAATTAATTTATAATAGATTCATACTTGGAATTCAAGTCCATATATAACGGGAGTATCATTATCCATTTCTGAAAGTATTGTATTTCACCATACAAAATATATTACACTTTATCAGGAAATGCGTGTTAACTTTCCAGATAGACAGAGCAATAGTAATCCTTGCAGATGGTAAACATTGTGTCTAATATCTATGAAGATATAGCTAGATGAGAATTTAAACTTCATTTCATATTTTTACTAATGCTGGATATCGAGATACACACGATTCAGTTAAAAAAATTATTGTTTCAAGTAAAAAAACAATCCTCCGAAAATATAGACATCAATATAGTCGCAGTTTTGTGATAGCGAATTATACATTTAATTATACATTTAATTAAAAGTAAAAACACTTAGATGTCAAGGATATCACGATATGTAAACTGACATGACATCGATTTTGATATAATGCCTTGTCCAAACGCACAATGCGAAGCGAAGAGACTGTCCTATATCCCTTTCTACTAATGTAGGTAAAACTTTAATCTCATAATCAGTTTACTTTTTATTCTTTTCTAATTTTTAAAATTAGAAGAAGATAAAAAGTAAGTTAATGCATGATTAAAGCTAATCTATTAGTAGAAACAAGCACTAGACTGTGTTCTATTTGAGTCCAGTGACAAAGAACAGAATTTATATTTTATTGCTGCACTGAAACTTGAATTTTCTTCTTGCTTTTTGCCAACATTAAACATATATTCATTTCACTTTACAAAGAGCATATACTAAATGTTCAGCTTAAAAAATAAACTTAAAGGACCGCGATCAGAAAATTCATCCAATGTATCGTATATCCAAGAGCCCTATTCTTGAAGAAATTGATCGTGTATAAAAATAGTATATACAATCGACCAATCACAATCGAGAAACTGTCATTTTCATATGCGAAAAGTATTCATATATCTGCTCAAGAATAGGGCCACAGTTTCTGATAGGTTGAAATTCTTAGGGGCTCCGCACAATAAAAGGAACAAAGAATAGGAATTTCAACCTATCAGAAATCATGTATTGTAGAATACACAGTTTCTGATAGGTTAAAATTCTTATTCTCTGTTCTCTGTTCCGCACTGTGTGATTTCACCCTAAGGGAATCAACCAATTCTTCTTTTCTAGGGAATGGAAAGAAAGGAAAGATTCTGATTAGTTGATTCTCTTATGCACTATGCGTTATGCGTTATGCAAAAGTCTGTGCTGCGGCTTTATGCATTGAAGATTGAGATTGAAGATTAAAGATTGAAATTTCACCAATAAAGACAAAAAAATTTTGGCTCCTTTTGTTCTGATTGGTCAAACTTCAATCTTTCAATCTGTAATCTCATTCTTCAATGCGTAGTCTAATTCCTTAGCCCGGATCCTCATACGGGCAACAGCGCTTTGAAACCGAACGCTGATTGGTGTAAATTTTGCCCTCACAACAGACTTTTACCAATTAGCGCTCTGTGTCAAAGCGCTGTATGAGGATCCGGGCTTTAGACGCATGCGCGTTCAATGTAGCTTCAGTAACGTACCGTCACTAGTAAATAAGAGATCATTAGTCGCTTAGGATTGGAAATGTTGAAAATTTTAATATATTTTACATATTTCACATATATAATACATATAGAAAAAAAATATATATATATAGAAATATATTATATATATTTATATATATGTATACGTATGTAAAATATGTAAAATTTTCCACATTTTCAACTAAGTTCTCTGAGCGACTAATGATCTCCTATTTACTAGGTACATTACTGAAGCTACATTGGACACGCATGCGTCTAAAACCCGGCCCGTCTAACAACACTGGCCAAACGGGCCAAACAAACCGGCAAAACCTCGTAATCTTCCAACGGTCGTCGTCGAAGCTGGTCGAGGCGCTGTCGCGGCGGTTAACTCGAGGCGGGGAGGGGGAATCGCGCATACACGTATACGTTGATACGTTCCCGGTTCCCCTTCCAGGGTTCCCCGCTCCAGTCCGTCGCGAGTCGCGACGAGCGCTGCCGTTTCTTCGTTCGGTTGTACGAGCGTTCGGGCGATCGACGAGAACGGAGCAAACGGAGTCGGGGAGTGGAGGCAGAGCCAGCGAAGTCGCGGGACCTGTGAGATCGAGCGACGAATTCCGTCATATCATCCGCTTACATTTGGCTCGGTACGCGCGAGAGTACTGTCGGCGTTTTGCGAGAAATCCTTCTACGGTGGTCGCGTACACAAGTGCGATCGAGGAGGCCCGCGGAGATGCCGGATACGAACTGAACGCGCGTACACCGTGGTTGTGATCATCGCCGCAGCCGCAACCCGCAACAGCAACCGCAGTCGATTCCTGAGGAACGCCACCGTTTTCCCTCGGAGATCGTCGGCCGGGAGATCCCCGGACGCGAATGCGCGTTCCTCCTCGCGGTGCCGTCCTCGCGCGAGGATCGCACACGTCTTCCCTCTTCCTCCCGAAAGCGCCGCTATGCTGACGCTGCAGCATCAAACGTGAGTAACCTGTCGTCTAGAACCGAGGCCAACCGAGGCACCTTGCTTTCAACACGCATGTTATTTACTGCCCATGTTGCATGTGTCGCAATCTCACCCGCGTGTATCCACGCACGCGTTTTTGGAGAACGGCACTTTTCAAGCACTCGCCGCTTGTCCTCTCGTTTCTCTTTTTCTCTCTTTCTCTCTTTCCTCTTTCTCTCCGTCTCTCTCTTTTTTTTTCTGGAGCGAAATATCGTTTAGTTAGCGGCCGCTCCACTTTTTGTTCGCCTTTGCGATATCGCCGATACGCTCGTCTTAAACCTCACGACTCTGTCCGCTTTTGTGGTGCCTGATAATTCGCGATACAGTTGGGTACGGTGCGATATTTTTGTCCGTCAAACGATCAGCTGTTGCTGTTGACGAATATTGATTCGCCTTCGCCGCGCGAGGTCTAAATTAATCATTGAGTTTTGCGGTAGATATAATACGTCGGAGATGCGGATTCTACTCCGAATTGTTCGAAGGAGAAATTGGCCGTTAGCGTTTTGAATTAAAGAGATACCTGCGACATATGCGATACGTGTCTAAAAAAATATGCGTTAAAAGCGGAAAGCCTGCTACCGCTGCAAAAAAAAAAAAATTTCTGACACAACACCCCGACGAAGCTACGTAAATTTAGTTAGCGGATTTTTATCTTTGATTTTTGTTCTACACGGAAATTGAGCGGCGCGGTTTTGAAATGGCAGTGCACATTTATCAAGCGCACACTGCTATCAATTGCTTATAATTGAATGGTGTATTTAATATACGTCAATATAAAATACCGTATCGATCATCGCGATTTAATTTCGGCGCTTGTAACGTCTGTGCACGTTACTTTACACGCGTGACGGGAAACATGCATAAATTACGGTGACATGTATACTAGCTTGAGGGAAAGTATGGAATACCGTCATTTTAAACACTCATTTCAAGAGAATTTTAATGTAATACATGGAAAGAATGCTTTTACTGAAGTATCCAAACATTTAACTGAATACAGATCTGAAAATAATTTTGTTGGATGAGCAATAATTGTCTAAGGTATTCAAATGATTCCTCGAATGTCAAATCTTTTTGCATTATTGATCATCATGCTTCAGTTTCCTACATAATTATTTTGATGGTCTAACACAATTATTTTCAGATCTGTATTTACCTAAATTTTTAGATATTTCAACAAATATCTTCCGTGAATTATGTTACATTATACTGTAATATTTTTATTATTGGTTAGTGAAATTCTTTTATTTAATATGGTATGATATTTTACTTTATAATCGCTTATATATATATATATTGCTGCTCATAAAATCAGATTTTAATTCCGAACTCGAGCGCCTCCATTCCAACCAAGTTCCTCTGTAAAGATTCCTCTCACGAAGAATCTGCTCGTATTACGTACATTATTGCAGCTCTCCAATACGATTTTTACGACAACGTCTCAAATAGCCTTGTATCTGCGTCTATGACGCGTTCGTATTTGGTATGCCGTCTATCAGTCGCACGCGATAAGAATGCGTTTACAGATCGACTTGGTGACGTGCAAATGTATCTTCTGACGATCCTGGGTCGAGATACATATGTATAACGCGCGGATTCATTGGCGTAAATGTCTCCCGTCTCGTGCCAGCTCAAATATATTCATTCTGCTCCGGTAGGCTCGAGTTAATTGAACTATTAGTCGCCGCCTTCTCGCATCTCTCGTCCCATTGTCTTCGCCACTTCATATCAGCATCGCCGACGTGATCAGTTAGTACACGAAAAGTACGATTTTATTTGAAGACCCTATTATCGGAGTCTAGTCACGAAAGATTTTGTCAAAATCCTATGAGAGAAAAAGGTATAATTTTTCTCTGTATATATTATCTCATTCAAACTTACATTGTCTCGCTCTATAATTTTAATTATTAAAAAAGTTAGAGTGAGATAGTATATACAGGGTGTCTCGAATTTAAATGGCCAAACTTTGGGAGTCTATAGAGTGTAAAGGATTGACTGACTATAAGGAAAAAAAGTCCTTTAGAAATATGCTCGTTTTTACTTTATTTTGAAAATCATAAACAAAAACAAAACGCGTAATTTTCGAAATATTTTCAAAGCGGAATATTATTTTCGTGTACGACTTCAGTGTTAACGCTTTATAAACAGTATACACGTCGAGAGTATACACGTCGATTTCCAGAAAGAAGAGTCCCGGATTGGCGTTGATCAGATCAGTTTAGCTGCAACACTAACTGTCTGTATAAGATGCAATGTGTGCATTGCTGTAAGAGGCCAACATTTTGCAACAATATCTGCATTAAGTAAATGACAACGCGAATAAGTAAATATAAATAAATAGTCTTAACTTTATCTACTGTTATTTATTATATTATTTATTATAAATAAATAAACAATAAATAAGTACAAAAATGAAAATTATAATTATATAAATTAGTTTATTATTAAAATGAAAATTATATAAATTAGTTTTGTCTTTTTTTTACTATTTTCTCCAAAATGAAGCATATCTCTAAAAGAGTGTTTTTTTAGTTTATCGATTCCCACACTTTCTCAAAGTTTGGCCATTTAAATTCGGAACACCTACGTGTATACTATACACAGAGAAAAATTATATACATATTTACCTTTCTCTCTCGTAGGATTTTGACATAATTGCTTATGTTACCAGACTCTGATATAAGATCTCTAGTTTTAAAGTAAAATTTAGCTGAATACAGATCTAAAAATAATTTTGTTGAACCATCAAAATAATTATGTAGGACGCTCAAACTGGTTGCTAGAATACCAAAACTTCTTGCAGCATATTCATCATACTTGAAATTCCTACATAATTATTTTGATAGTCCAAAATTATTTTCAGATCTATATTTAGCTAAATGTTTAGATATTTTAGCAAAATCGCTCTTTCCGTGTATAATTCATTGTGATGATTCGCTCAGCATCGACTGAGTTTTTGCTTCGATCCAAGTATCATCTTTAATTTTTAATCGTTTTTGACGAAACTGAATTTGTTTAATTGATTTATATATTTTTGACTTTGCAAATTTCATTTGCAATTCCGATTTTTTAAATATTGTGACTATATCACCTCATCTGAGGATCATCGGGTGTTATTAGACAAAGAAGAAGAAGCACTCGACCGTTCGCTGCAAAGATTGGTCAGTTTTCCGATAAAAGTTCACACGCGGATGTCCGCGTTCGCGTGTGACACGCTTACTCGACCTATCGATTTACCATAGGTCGTAAACATCCAGCTAACGTTAAAAGTAAGTTAGCGATTCTGTACCTCTCTGAATATACCTCACTGAGAAAAATGTCTAGTTAATGTCTGGGATTAATTAGAATTCTGATCGAAAATCGACAAATCAATATTTTCTGATTAAATCTACTAAAATTCCAGTTGTGATAACCGGAATTCTGATTGATGTAAGAAATGATGTCAAAATCTTCTGATTCGTTCATTTTCAATCATTTTTCTCAGTGCAAGAGATAAAGAGACCGTGAGACCCTCGGATCTTCTCTCTATCGAAGGAGTCGAAGACGCCGAGGAATGAATAAAATCTGAATAAATGAGAAACATTAATTGGCAATATTTTTCGTGATTATACAGAAATATACGTCTTTTTCTCGCGAAACTTTAAAAGGATCAAAGGCTAAGCGAGACCTTCACATTTCCACCTCGAACCGATCCGTCCGCCCACGGTATCGTAATTGATCCGTAAGCAGTGAACTCACTTTAAAATCTCGAGTTTCACTTTAATCAATAGTGTCGCGTGTTGCACGCCGCTATATAAGTTCTTTTGATTACTATCGCGCGCACCCGGCGGCTCTGGTCGTCGCCTTTCGATACGAATATCGTGATGGAGTACGTTTACCTTAGATTGACTATATTTCGATAGGACTTACTCTGAGCCCCGATAAAAAAACCTATTTATCTCGGTGAAGCTTCCGTTTGCTTTTTATCTGTCATGGTTTATCATTGACGAAGACATAATGAATAATGTTGCCGTCTTAACATCAATCGCTTTTCCTGGGGCTTCTTCTAACACTGATTATTATTGATTGATTTTTAATATTCTTTTTACATTAAAAAATTACAATCTGGAATCGTTTAGTCGGGATTATTTGTAGTTGGAATGTAACGGGAAATTTCCGAAAGAATTTTTCGAGCACTAATTTCAGAAGAAATTAAGCTATCATAAATTCATTTTTATATATTAAGCTATCATTTCTATCTAATTCGTTTTTAACGATTATGGGCCTTTAAATAACCGCCCCCGGGCGTCATTTCAGTACTTTCAGAATTGAATTTAATTAGTCAATTAGTTCTTAATTAAGATTCAAGCGGAATTTGCGCTTGCTGTTAATAAGGTACAATCGCAAACAATTTAAAACAAATTATACGTGAAGTACTCAAATAAAGTATCATCTCACGAGTTCAGAGGCACAGAATTTCATTTTTCTTATAACAATATTTGGAACCAAAACGACTGACGTTAAACAGATTATTATTTTTTTAATCAAGCTCTAATTTCGAGAACAATAAGAATGTAAATTTTTATTCTGGCTGAAATCGAGTCGCTAGTTTTTGCTAGCAACATAACATATTTATGTACATTACAACAATTTACTGCATTTTTACTTTCACAAGATTGATTGAGGAATGCAATGATGAATCATTTCTTTAGCAATATTTATTTTCTATTAAAGAAAAATTGCGAGTCTCTTGAATCTTTTATATTCAGTCTTTCAAACATCGTCCATACAAGACAATGAGCGACAATTTCTGTTTATTGGAATTACTCCGATTATTCTATTCTTTAATGGTCTTGACTCTCCGCCGACCAGTTTGAACTTTGAAGACACAATCGATATTTTGATTGTGAATTCTGGGAGATAAAATCTGATAGATAAATTTAAATCTATAAAATAAGTCCAATACAATCCGACTTTTATAACGGCAAAAATTCGTTAAAATTTTTATAGTCGTGTAAGAATTAAAAAAAATTCTTATACAATCTGAAACAATATAAAAATCTACACTGAAGCCAAAGATTCAAATTGCTGACGAAATACACAAAATTTTATGGCTATAGGAAGATTAAATAAACGGTATTTTTAAAAAACACCAACCTTTGACTGACAATTCATAGAGATAAACTCTCGTTTCGTATCTATCGTAAGAAATTAAACTCGCGCGCGATAAGTGCTCTTCGTGCCACGCTAAAGATGACTTCACCCTTTAACGGGAGAAAAGGGACCTTCGCATTAGCCTCTAATCGGGCGCAAAACGCGCTCGATCGCCGCGCATTATCTCGTGTGCCATCTTACTTTATCACGTACCTACTCACACCGCGGACAGTCACGTGTGGGAAACTGTGTGCAGCGGGAAACCGCTAGGTTTTAAACAACGAGGCACATTTCCCACTTAAGCGCGTACGTGCCGATTACGGTACGCCCATCATTATTACGCTTTATGCCTTGTGATCCGTTAAATATGATTACGTTAACATAGAGGAGCTTAGGCGATTTTTACGCGAGGCACACCGGAAACGCGCCGCCGATGGTCGCATGAGATTTCGAGAACGACCGACTTTTGCGCTCACGCACTCATCCTAATTGCGGGATGTTCGTAATATCGGCTGTATGCGGTATCACGGTTGAAGAATACGATTTCCCTCCGCTTTCCACAGATTTCCCAGTCCTACCCTCGATCTTGCGCAATCCTGCCGGCACGGTCCGTCTTGGTACGTCTAGCGAACGCATTTACAAGGGGCGGTTAAAAATGTAAATTTATTCTGTCAGTTCTGCTCTTTTAATTCATCATACACTTTCCTTCGTTGTTTCACGTTATTTCAGCGGCATATTAAAACAGAAGTTAAAACCCAAGTTCGTCTGTAAGTTCTTTTTTTAAATCTTCAATTAACTTCTTGGTATTAGGAAGGGTGTTACAAAGTTAAGATTATATAATGGATCCTTTTGTAGAGAATATAAATTGTTCACAGAAGAAAACGCTGAACTGTCTAAAAATGTACGTAGATACCAAGGTAGATACAGATCTGAATATAATTTTATTGGATTATCAGAATAATTATGTATACACAGAAAAATATCTTTCTGTTGCTAAGGAAGTCACTACTCAATTTACTTTCTTTCTTAAGTAACGGTTTTCTTCAACAAAGAACATTTTCTTGATAATCTTAAAATATATTGTTAGAAATTTTAGAAAATCTCATTATATACTCAAAACAAGAATTTATTTTCTTTTGAAGAATATTATAAAATTAATCGAAGAAGCTTGATATAATAAGCAAATCCAATTCGTTTTAATTATTAATCTTGAAATATTAAACTACCGGGATTCAGAATATATTAAATTTGTTTACTATTCAGAATATACTCATGACTTAAACAAGTAATTATTACTTGTTTATATGTGTTTTTCGGTGTAGGAAATTTAATTAATCTCTATCTGTGCAATTTGAGTTTTGTTTAGTCGAAATTTTTGTACTGTTCTAGGCTTTCAAAAAATTTGAAAAAAGTATAGAATTACTTTTCTACATCTGTATTACATTAAAAAAGTTTTAAAAATAGTTTTGTAATTCAAACCTTTATTAGTCTTTATTTAATAAAAATTGAAATCTGAGCAAAAATGAGGAAGAAATTTGAAAGTGAAATTTTGTTTGTTCCAAATTGTAAACTAAGAGTTGATGCATAATGAGCAATGTTGCAAAAAGTTTAGATATTCTAACAGCTTGAGTGTCATAATACATAATTATTACATCTACATAATTATTATGATGATCCAACAAAATTATTTTCCGATCTATTTGGTTAAAATTTTCAGATAATTTTCAGACTTCAGTAAAACTGTTCTTTTCATGTTAGAACTAACCGGAGTGATGTTTTGCCATTAGAAACACGGAAAAGGCATTGAGCGGAGATACAGCAAAGCAACAGATTGTTACTTCGAGCTTGATCACCGTTAGCTTACGTTTGTATCGACATTCGCAACATATATATA